ATAACTCTGTAGGGGTTACCATCATCCAGCCACTAGTACTCTCAGGTTTGCCCGGTGACGTATGAATTTCTCTTCACCATTCAATTCCTCAGAATCTCTAGATTCAGAATATCATATATTTTCTCGAGCAATTCTGCTTACTTGAGGAGATATTGCAATTTTCTTTTCTTAAATCTGTCTCAAAGCTATAGGGGTTCGATATTTGAGCCTACCATACTCTCAGGTTTGCCTAGTAAAATATGTTGTTAGGCAAACCTGAGAGTACGGTAGGTTTGAAGATGGCACCCCTTACGGTTTTGCACAAACTATATAAAATGGTGTATGGTTTGCACTTGATACCATTCGAGAAGGCTAAAACATGAAGCAGTCAACTTTGAAACACTGTTTGAATGATCTGCGATGACCATTTTACAGGTTAACATGAATATCTATAAACAAAGTAATATGAACATGAATATGCAGATCAAATCAGTCAGCCCTCTGCTTTTTCACCGTCGACCATTTGATTGACTGATCAACTTGCATTAAGTTGCTTCACCTCGTTCAGCTTTCATCATTCTCATATTTCTTCTCTCCATCACACGGCCGTAGTTGCACGTTCACACTTCTCACTTGTTTACATGCTTCATCATGCAGTATTCCTTCGCCGTCTGAAACCTTCTCAAACACCACTGTTGTTTTCATAACTATGTCCACACGTTACTGTTCAACAGAGGACGGTGTGACGTCTGAAGGCTGCTCCTGCAGTTGACCAATTCCATGAATGAGGAAAGACAATTCAACACATGCATTGACCTCATTAGTTCACAATGCGATTTACATCGAGTGGTCAGGTGATTTTCCGGGTTTGAGGCAATGTGCAGAATATTTTTCAGATGAACTTTTTAGTTATTGTTCGAAATTTACATATTTTATAATTGTTTCAACTCGTAAGCAATATTTTGCGTATCGCTTTCCGGATCACCATAACTACTCATCTCTTTGCAAACGATGCACATAAGCTCAGTGCTATTTTCCTCATCGGAAGCAATTTTTTAAACGGAAAACAGTTCGTCGACTGCGCGGTGTGATATCAGTAGCAATTTTTGCAGACATAATAAATATCCGTAAAATATGTTTAGAGGTTGTTCGAAGGTTGCAGTTCTTGCAACAGTTCATGCCTTTCCGCAGTCTTCCACTCAATAATTCTGTTCCTCAGAAAGACTTGTATTTTGACGGGACTATTTATTGTATCAATGAATACTTCCTGAAAGTCTAAAACAATTTCAATGTGCAACTTCTTCAACATACGACTGATGCACTCAAAATACCTTCTAATAAACATCCACTGTACCATGCGATTTTCGGACATCATATAAGATTTTTAGTCATACAACGTAGCAAAACGATTCTATCAAGTTATGTTCATTATCTGCATGACAATTCCAACACTGCTCAGGATCACAACGAAATTGTAGAACAATGCATCACTAAAACCACAGCCTACATGATAATTTTACTAATACAAAATAATTGGAGTTTACCTAACGGTTTCAAAAAGTTTCTTTTGAGTAAATGACTGAATGCCGATAACTATAAGGGAAAAAACTAGGAATGACGGTAAGAAATACCATCGAACATGACAACGAATGGTCCTCTCTTCCTCAGTTAATACGAAAACTCAAATGAGTGATAGATATCACACCTCGGTTGCCATTAATTACTTATACCTGCGGTCATGCTCGTTCTGTGCACCATCTATTATATTGATCTGATTCGTTCGCATTACTTCATGTTGTGCGTTTTTCATTATCTAACTCAGTTAATTGGAATTCTGAATTTTTTTCGCGTTATTCCTTCTTTTTGTTTGAAGCAAGCAATTCTGAATTTCTTTAAAATTCTAAAAATCATTTTTCGAATTTTTAATATTTCGGTGGAGAGCAGCTCATTTTTTTTGTATTTCTAATTCAGGTAATCAAGGTGCTGACCACGCCTGCGAAGAAAATATTTTGAAGAAAGTGACGATTATCAATTTTTAATGTGTTTCGATTTCATTTCCACGCGCACTTTTTGCTCGATTAACTTCGTCAATTTGCATATTTTCTTATAAACATCTCTTCGAGAATAAACTTTGCGACAAGATGATCATCGAGTCCAATCCCTTATTGTTCCTCAATCTTTGGATTTTCAAGCTGAAACATATTAATTGCATCACCACCATTGAGTTAATATCGTTATTATTACTGAATTCTTCTGAATTTCTTTAAAATTCTAAAATCATATTACACTCTTTCAATCCTATATTCTGATCTGCCCATTTTCAGATTTTTTCGAATTTTTAATATTTCGGTGGAGAGCAGCTCATTCGAAGCAGCAAAAAAAAAAGTAAGTATTAATCAAGTTTTAATCATTTCCGTTATCTGGTTTATTTGTTTCTTCGAGCTTTTTGTATTTCTTCGAACTCTCCACTGCTATATGAGTTATTGTCTTTGATGTGCTGCGCTACTGGTGTGTTCTCACCGTGATATATTGATAATTTGTTATGATACAATGATAGCTTCTTCATATTCTAAATGATCGCATTCGTAGCCAAACAAATTTCAATTCATTGCGTTTATCAGCAATAATATCAACATTATCTGATTGGAAGATGGTACAATGCGTCAGTCTTCTTCAATCTGCGTTATTCCTTCTTCTTGATTGAAGCAAGCAATTCTGTTGTCACTAGCGTAGCCTTTTATTTGTGTATTGCGAGACGTAGACGTAAATAATCATCAAAGATGATGAATCGATGAAGAGCAACAATGATGAATCAATGATAAGTAATGAAGTAAACAATAAATCAGTTAAAACTAATAATGAGACAAAATGATAATAAACAACGAATAGATTGTGCCAAGTAATGCTCGAACGAGATGGACTTTGTAGTAACTTAATCTGAGTTGAGAACCAATTATAAATATCGGTCGACTAAAGACTTCGAGATGTAACCTCAATTTGAAATTGGAGATTACTAGGCACCAATAAGGACAAATAAAACAACAGATTGAAGTGTAGTTCGCGTCGAATAGCTCCGGCACGATGGATTGAGGTTGACGAGTTGACTAGTGTGCTGCGATGAGGAGATGGCTCTACGTTAACGAACACGCACGATGGATTGTTGAATCTCAGTAAATTTTGGTGTCGAGTGCACTCGTCGTTTTAAAATGCCAAGGATTGTTGATTTAGATGGTTGCGAAATCGGGGGGATCAACTTGCTTGCGTTGAGGAATTATACTTGAAGTAACTTGAAAAGGGCCTTGGTGGGAAAAGGAAGTCGTGGACTTGCTTGATAAGGACTTGCAATTGATGTTCCGTTTGAATTTAGCCGGACCTTGTGTCCTTGCATTTGTCGTTGTCATTCTGACGAAGTCGTGACCCTAAGCGTGATGATTCGTTGAATACACGCGTTACTTTGATTGACAGTAAATAATACGTTTGAGGTCGGACAAACAGAAGCTCTCTGGTCGCCGACCTTGACTTGTATGAGAATTGAATATTTGTTTTGATTTCACTCGAACGGTTGCCAGAGCAGTTTGATTCGAACTTCTGTCCGACCTCAAACTTAGGTAATTAAACCTTTGGAACAACACAATACATTACGCGCGGAACAGTATTCACAATACGCTAAATTGCTAATTCAGTAACAAGTTTTAACGATAATAACAAATATGAAAACAAATTGAAATAAATTGAACAAATATAATTTGTTGGTGATGGAGAGCGATGCACAACGCACCGTTCTGGAATATAATGTTAACAATTAGTGTTTGAGAGAATATTGAGATAGGAATGTATGGATGAAGATATGAGATAATGATTGTTTGGGTTATGTGAATGTTTTATATTTAGTTTTTGAGAATGTGTATTGGAATTGAATTTTTGTATTTTTAATTTTATGTTTTATATTGTTTTTATTTCGCGATTAATCGCGACAAATTCCATATTTCATGTGCGTGTCCTATTCATTCATGTTGTCTTCAAAAGAACAAGGGAGCGATTTTGGCCTATTTCATTGTCTGACGCATAAATCCTTCAATTTATGACATTTCATCTCCTGGTGCAATTCTACGTTTCATGCGCGATTCCTTATGCACTTGTCTTGTCTTCAGAAGAAAATGCCTCAAAAGATATCATTTTATCAAACTGCATGATATTTATTACTGCACGATCAAACCTGCCTATTATATAATATTATATCAAAACATTTCTCAGCTTGAAATGATAAAAGAAATTTCATTCTGAAAGTCTCAATGCCGCACTGAAATTATGCCGAAATATTTTATAATCTACATTTAATTTGAACACACAAGCAATTCTTGCTGCTTTCTCGGATTCTATTGCTGCCTTGGAAATCACTATATGATATCAATTGCCTGAAGAATGAAAAAATTACTCATACTCAAGTTTTCCGCTTGGAATATTCACCTTGCTCTGAAAATCGAAATGAGAACAACTTTTCGAGTATTTTTATTCGATCACATCGGTATGAACAGCTGAATTGAACACTGGATCTGCCTTATCAATTGCTTGATCTGCCTCACATTAATCTACATCACTTTATTGGATATTGAATGATCAGTGACTTACTTCTTCACGCCTTTTCAATCCGTTGCACTGGATTGTCCAAGCAACTGACTTTTGCCTGTTGAAATTTCCTCTATTGGTTGCGTCTATGTGTGCGGATTTCTAACACCTCCTGAAAGTCATTTTATTTGAGTATTACTTTGATGGAGAAAATGAAACCGTGAAATGCGAGTTCAGTAAGATTTAAGAAAATCTGACTGGGATTTGGGATTACTTACACTTAAAGATAATAAGGAAAATTTAATGAAGCATGTGAAATTTATTTGTCGTGGAATGATAAATGAAGTGATTGACTATGGGCTATGAAATTTGTTAAAACTATTATTTCCAAAATAAGTGTTTTACAGTTTGGAAAAAATGCCGTGGAGAGGAGGCGAAAGCAGCAGCAGCAGCGCATGGAGGTTGAGGAGGCGACACAGGAGGGCGAAAAAGGACGAGGTGAATGACCGGGATGTGAGGAGGAAATGTTTTATGAGGCGCGCGAAGGAGGGGGTTCCAGGCCACCTGGAAACAAGGCTGCAGCTCGACAGTCTGCAGTTTGAGAGCAGCGGGAAGATATACTGCAGCAACTTACTGCAAGTATTAGGGGTATTGAGCCTAATGCCCCACTATGATCAACTGGTTCGGTGGGTCAGGGAGGAGGGTTGGGCAATAACAATAAATGCATTGCCACCCGAACTGGGTGGCCACTCAATATGTAAGTTTAGATGTAATTCATTCAGATATTCACGTCTTTTTTATCATTTATCCATACACATGTAATCCTACAACATAAATGTCATCTTATGAACCGATGAAATGACAACTCTATGTTCATACTAATATAATCATACAAGAAGAGGTGGAATGAGTTCTAGAAATTACAGATTCACATTCTTATAACATCATGAAATACAACATTATCAGCATTATTTTACTGATGACTTCTAATAGCTAGGAATCACGTTAGCAATATTTATAAGTTCAGCGCTACAATATCAATATATAGTAGCAACATTAACATGAGTAAACACCATATCAGCAGATGAAACAGTGTATTCAAAACATCAATCGAATGTCAGTCTCATACAGATATCAAAAGATCAATTATAAAATTTTGCTCATTCAAGAAAAAGCACATGTCTTAGAATATAATCAATGCAGAATAAGGCGATTAAACAACCAGAAATTATTCTCGTCAAGCTTACCACGTAAGCGACGACAATTCCATCTGTAAGTTTTCATAGATTGACAATTGTTTGTTTTAGTATGGTCATTTTTGAAAATCTGAATCGGAGAGCGGCAGTATTCTAGATTAATTGAATTAGTATTTTCTTGTCATCATATTGCGCCCTAATTCAATGATTCGACGCAAACCTCATCATGCATTTTGGCCATGACAGTTTATCTATAATTGAACGATAACGCGACAGAGGTGACTACAATTGCAGTGGTACCAATAGCAATAATTCCTATGTTAATAATGGTCGAGTGACCATATATTCATCCTTGCTTATGATGAATGTTTCAACAACTTAAATCGAAGAGGATCAGCATTTCCGGAAAGTTTTTGTGAGTGGACGAACAAGCGATTTTTTTTGAAGACTGATCGATTCTTAGAACGAACCAATGACGCGAATTCGCATTTCGATGTATTGTTCAATATTCGTTCGCCACTTTCTCTTAACACTCTTTTTGAACTGCACTATCGTATGAAGTTGGCCCAGTTCCGATGTGCCAGCTCAAATCAAACTTATTAGCAGCACATATTAATTATGAGAGTTATCACCGGCTTCGTTGTATCCGAATTTCATTTTTTGAACTGAGATTCTGAGTTTGGTCTCTTATTCTAAAAATATCGTCCCGTTTAATTATTGTGAAATGCGGTTCTTTCATTTCAGCTCAGTGGTTGAATTCATTGATATGAATGTGACATGTTTCGTCGTTTGTTTGCTGCGAAATTCATCGCCTTGTTACTGCATAATTATTGGTTTAACGGACTATTGAATATATTGTTTATGCTTAATGGAATCAGTACATTAGTTTCAAATTTTAGACGTGTTATCCTGAAAAGAAGCAGAATGATTGGATTAACTGTGCTTGTGCTGACTGCCGCTTTAATCAGCTCTTCGCTGGGTTAGTAGCACGTTTTGCAAAAAAATTAGTGTTTTCTGTTATTGTGTAAGTTTATTATATATTCCTGTGGTATGGTTAACAAGTTATTGTATAGGCAGTAGTCAGAAAATTTTTATAACCATTTTGAAGCCAGTCTATTTCTTTATAGCAGAGGGTTGTTCATGCTCACGCCTTGGTTCGATGAATGTACAATAACTGAACGTTTGAAATGCTTGGGAATTGACCGAAAGCATTTAGATCGACTTGGATTTCTAGACATTTAGAAGCATTCGGAGATTTAGAGACGGAAAGTATTCAGGCATTTAGCGAGCACCGTCGTGTCCATTCAACTGCACCAATTTGATAAAAGAATCGAAGAATAGCACTTTGTTTAATGCACATTTGATGCAGTTGTATTTCTTTCAGCAGCACATTGTGAATCACCAAAATATTCGTCGACAACATTCTCAACGACCGATGCGTTCTTCCATTTCAGTACCACGTATATTGTTGAGTTCACGTTGCAGTGTGCCAATAACCCAAAGGTTCTTTCATCTTTTTCTTGACATTCCGAATCGGTTCGTTTTGAAAAATCCAAGTGTATCCGAAAACCAAGTCAGATAGGAGATTTTTTCATCGAACTAGATTTGCAATAGCTTTGTTCTCTTCAAGCACACAATCAGCATATACCATTCAATAGTATCTGCATGTCAGAATGAAGCACTTACTAATGGTTTATAAGAACATTCTATTTCGTCTCAGTTTTAAATGAGACAGTTCTGTTGAGCATAGGTAATGGAGGCATAAATAATGAGATATCATGAAGCGCAAACTAGTTTACGCAAATTCTCATACGATCCTTTTGCCAAGCCCAACGAGACATTCTTTCTTTTTTCACACTCAGTTTTCTTACTCGCAGAATTTTTTGAAATTATCCACTCAAGATGAACATTCGTCCGCATCAGTGAAGAGAATGTTTCATCCAGAAGCGTTTCGGATGTTCTCAACGAAGGAGTGCACCCTTCAGTTCAAGCTGTGCTGGAACTTTATTTGATTAGTGTTGTACAGCTTTTTTAAGTTATTAGTCGTAAACTGAATGCAGTTGTAAAATTTGTTAAGGACATGGCAATCTATGGGACTGTTAACGGAAAAGCGTATCAAGCAGCTGTTTTGGAAGAAACTTCTAAACATCAAATCTCATGGCAGTTAGACCACGAGCAATCGGGTGCACAAACATTCAACGTGAACATATATGATGAAGATGGTTATGCTTCATTCCGAAAGGTTTTGCCTTAAGTCGATGTTTAATTGATTAAGTGCGATGCTCCAACGTCGTTACACTGTTACTCTGTTCGAAATGATGTAAAATCAACAGTTTTTAAAACTCAGCAGTTTTGTAATAATGTTGCAGTATTTTCCAGTTTGTCACTAGCTTAGTTTAGTTTAACACAATACTAAATTTTGTTGTGTGTTCATTCATTTTGGAATGAAAACTGTTCATTTATGGAGATGTTGATGTCGGCCTTTTCGACTTTCTGTAATACGTCGAGAGAATTTTCAATTGTTTCAGGCTGAACGAAATAGTGAAGATCCAAACAAAGTGAAACCATTATTCACAATTGAATTTAAGCATCCAGTAAGCCTATTTTTCTTTTGTTGCGGTTTATTACAATCGAACTGAAAAAGATTTCGTTTACCGCTCAAGTTTTTTATGGGCAGAGAAAAGGGATAACGAAAATGAGCTCTGTTGAAGTGAAATGTCTACAGACTCACAATCGTGTTGTGGTGTTTTCGTATGCGCTTTCAGTAATTGACTAACTCATTTTTCAGGGCGTCTCCAAGGCATCGCCGATCGCTTCCGAAACTGTTGTGACATTAGTGGCGTTAGCCTGGTTGTACATTGCGTATAGTTTCAAGAGTCAGCTGCTGGCTTAAGTTTACCGCAATCAGTTACTATTGCAAATACCTAAAGCTGATGGTTGACTATCGTCAATTTCGATGCTATGTTGTGATAAACCGAACCCCTCGACACTTCTCAATCCATATTTCTTCATCTTCTTTGTTTCTCTCGAATCATCCTCGAATTTCAAACAAACAGAAACGAATATATTCGTTGCACTTGGTCACCACCATTGTTATTGTTGTATAGTTCGTTTCGTCATCGATCACCTCTGATATGAGTTGTTTTTTGATTTTATTCTGTATGTTTTAGGTTTATTATGGTTGTTTGATGATCAAATCGGTTCATTTTGTGATGCTAGCATGATCGCATCAATTGCCTTTTTATGATGATTACATTTCACAAATTCAAAACTGTTCACTCGAAATATGGGCGTTCATTGCTTGTTGCTGTTTTACATGCCTCAACATTCAAATAGATATGCGATTATGTTTAAGTTCAAGAAATTGTATTAATTAATTGATCGGAATGGTTCTGTTGTGTCAGAATTTCAGATGAAAGGGATATAATTTTATGAGTACGTCAATGCGTTTGCCTGATTTTGGTTGATTTTAATGCATAATGAAATTTTGATACGAAACATTGCTGTTAGATTCGTTTTGATGCGCTCCATCTGATATAAATTAATAATCAGATATTGTGTCAAATTTAAGTTGAATTTCACTTCAAATTAAGATCACATACATATACGTATGGGCACTTCTGCGATAATTATGTGTCGTTACTTTTTTTGTCTTCTTCCTCAGCTATTGTATTACTATTATTATTGTTATAATTATTATTACCGTTCAGTTATTGAATATTTTATTGATTTATATGATGGTTGTTTGGAGATTTCGATTGTTTTCAAAGAATGAACCAAGAAGTAATAAATCAAATGTAACAATCGAATTTGCGATGATTACTACGCACAATTTCATTATATTTGATTGTGACCGATTGCGTCCATTATTTTTCAATGATTTTCGTTCAGTGGGCAAGTTTTGTTTTGAATTTTGAAAATGGAAGCACATTCCCGCAGTTGTGATTTATAACGGTACTTATAAGGGTTGGCATGGCCAGAGGGCGATTTGTGTGGAAATGAAGAGTGCTTCTGAGAGCGAATTGTGTTGCATTGAATTGAGGGTGATGGTGATTTGTGAGCTTTTGAGATAAGTGAGAATTCGACTGGAAATAAAGATTCGTATTGATTGATCATTAACGAATATTTGGCGTACGTTCACGAAGTTCACTGATGTTTTACTATGAACTGAGGTGTTGTAATTTCATTCGAAGCACAAAATGTGATCCACTAAATAATCGAATTTTCAACTAACTAAGCACTTTTTCTGCTATCATCACAAGCGTGAGTGCTCATCGTTAGTTGTTTCGTTGTCAGCGCTAGCAGAGAAATAATGGATGAAACTTCTCAAGAAACTCAAAATGAGTTGTTCTCACCCCGGGTGATATTGTTCATTAGTGGCAGTAAACGACATGCGAAAGGGTGAATCTGACGAAACAATTGGCAGGTGGGCGGATTTAGGTGGCACTAGGTGATTTTGACTTTTTGAGTGGAATGTACGTTCAATAGAGTTCTAATGGTGAGGCCATTCCTCACATGTAATATTTTTTGCCCAGATTCCATACGGGCTGTTTCCAATTTGTAATGGCCGCATTTTTGTTTGCACCGCTCTGATGTCCACTTGCCGATTATCGCTATGTTTGGCGTTGTAAGTTGTTTTCATAATGTGATTACTACACATTGCTAGACAGGTAGTAGAAGGATGGTGATGTGGCTGCATTCTGAGCGCATTTGTACGTCTAGCTGAAGAAGATTAAGAACCGCTGTTCGAAATGAAATCTTTAGGCTGCTCGTTTACGTAAACAACTGATTTATGTGTGTTTAATTTGAAATATAAAATGTCAGAGGAAGGTGATGTTGTTGAGGTGATAAGGTCATGAATGAATAACGTCGTGTGAGGATGATGTGATATGTTCACTTGTATGAATTTTGTTGAGTTGTAAATGCGCTCACATAATATAAAAAAAGAAAATGATGATGCTGATAATTATGTTGATTCAGAGGTATCGATCAAGTGTTGAAGTGAATAGAATGTCCTTGATATTGAGGCATTTGGGCAGATGTCTGACTAGGTTTGAGGGATACCCTACTTTATTGAATAGTCAGTCGATACGCATCCCGGTGTATTCACCAACATCTTCATTTCTACCACTATCCTATCATCACCATGCATTTTCGTCAGTCGGTAATTCTCACACATTCTCTAAGAACAGCAATATTCAAGTGCCAAAGTCCTCATTAATCATCTTACAAAATTCTCTCTTATTGCAACCATCACAATTTCAACTACAGAATAATCTATCGTTCAGTCATTCCAGTCAGGTACGTACCTTTCAAAATTTCCAAACTCGCATTGATCTTGAATATAAAGCAAAATTCGAAAATTTACTCTTCAATTTTTTAAAAATTCGAAATTTAAATTTTGCTACTGATTGAACAGGAATTTGGGTGATGATAATTATGACTTTCCGTTAATTATCGTTTAGAATCACAGGATATGGCGTATCACAATGGACGATGAAACGAAGAAAAGGAAACGTGATGAGATTGAGATAATGAAGAAGGTTGTTTGATGACTGCTTCATTCTTTTTTGAGCTTTTCATTGCTTCATAATGGAATAGTCAGTTTTGTCATCCGTGTTATTTTGATGTCGTTTGTCATCCGTGTTATTTTGATATATATATATATAT